AAGATCTCCTTAAAAGCCACAGCACCTAATTATATGCAGATATTATTTTTAATATCTTAAGTGTTTATTTAAGATTAATAAGTTAAGCCAGGCGATAAATCTTAAGAGAACTTTTCTCAACAATGTCCAAAAATATATAAAGATGCAATAAGTTAGGTTAGGTTAGGATTTGTTTGAGGAGGAGCGGAGCCCCTCTCCCGCTTATATGTGTACTGTTTCCTATATTTGAAATGAAAACTGCCTGTTCACTTCAAATATACTTCAACGTACAATTATAAAACTTTTGAGTCAAATATCTCAGAAACTATAAGCGATCCCCGTATTAATTGTATTAGGAAAAGTCACTCGGAATTTCATCCTTTATAACACATTTCAAAATGAAAGAAGTCGGTGAGGTGTAGCCTTTTCTATATATTTACCGATTATTCTTGCCATAATCGACTGTGATTGGATTATTTCTTATCGCTCACGCTTACTTCTTACTGCTTACTGCCATTGTAGACGACGCTTTATTCGTCGCGCGCGAAGTACGGCGGTTGCACCACGCGCGGCAGAAAGGCGCGGGGAGACCTCGGCGGCGCGTGTTGCCTCACGTGTTGGGCGTAATGCGTTGCGTTTCCGACACGTGATGCCTCGTCGCCGTCGGCTCGGCTCGGCGCGGCGCGGCGCGGCGCGGCGCCTCCCTCCCGACTGAAGAAATGCGAGCGTCGCCGCTTGTCGCCCGTAGTCGTCGCCGTGCCACTCGCGAGTACGCACAGTGCGGCCGGGAGCGAGCGAGCGAGCGAGAGCGAGAGCGAGATAGAGAGCTCGGTTCGATAACGGCGAGAGACATCGGCCTCATATCGCGAGCGTCCAAGTGGAAATCGACTCACGCCGGCAGTCGAGTCGGGTCTTTCGCAACGACCGCGTCGTTTCGCGCGGTTCCCACGACAATTGGAATTATTCAACACTTATGGGCCGTTGAGTCGATCTTCGCGGCCTCGAGAGCACGGGAGATCGTGAGGGGAGTCGACCGGTCGTGCGAGATCTGCTGCGAGTTTCTTTCGCGCGCGCTTCAGGAGCAGTTGATACTTTCGCCTAGCCGACGAGCGGTCATTCGGGGCGTTTTTGAACGGCAATCGCGCCGCTGTGGTCCTGCGGTACCTGCGCACGAGGATTTCATTTCCGCCGGAGAAGCGCATCGCTGAGAGTGAGTGCAAGAGGAAGCTCGGATCCAGATCCTCGGTGTCTTCGTGGAGCAGGAAAGCTCTCTCGGTCGATCCTCTTTTTTTTCTTTTTCGCGTCTTCCGTCGTGCATTTTGCCACTCGGGACAGGATGGTCACGCACAGTATGGACAATATCTTGAACATGCAGTACTATCCGGCGAACAGCCACGTCGATGCGTCGGTGCACTCGCCGCCGCCGCGGAAGAGGCGTTGTTTGAACAAAGAGGTGAATATATACTTTCGCCAACGCTGCGAGCGAAATCGATATCACGGTCGTTTCCCGTCGGAAAAATGTGCGCGCAGGTCCTCCGGCAGGATTCCGTCGGGTCGGTCGCGTTGCTCCGGAATGCCGAAGCGCGAGATACCCACGCATTTGTTCGCCCTGCATTTGTGCAAATTCCTCTTTCAACTCGGAGTCAATTTCCGACGCTGATGCTACCTTGAGAGTCGCGAGAGAAATACAAAGGTGAAAAATTCCAGAGAGGCCGGGGGCGTAAAAAATTCTCTCTCGTAAATGAGAAGTCTCACACGCGTTGCTGTTGTGGTAGTTTCAGCGACGGCTGAGACGGCTCGTTCGTTATTTAATTTGTCACTGACCGTATTTTCTAACGGTAATTTCTAAGTAGGGCGACGTAGGTCGCAATATCGTTAAGAGAAACGATGTCGCGCGATTGAAGTTTCAGTCGGGCGGGAACTTTGCTTCTCGAGTCGGTTCTGGCGATATATCGATGTCGCGTAAATATCGATATAAATATAAATATCGCATAAACATGCAAACGAGAAACCCGCCGGCTGGCGGTTACCGTCCTCCACGAATTTGTATCACTCGACCGGGGGGAATCCTTTGCGATCTCTCACTCGAGAATCTGTCGTCTCTCGCACGAAATTCCCCGTCGGACAGGAGTGTGTTTTTACATCGCCTTTTGCTCTCAATTCGCAATTCACCATTTTTCTCGCCGTTTTCCCGCTCTTCTGCCCGAGCGACGCGCGCGCGCGTGTCGTCCGCTTGCGTAATTCCGCATGAATGAGCTTCGCGGAAACTCGTCTCGCGCTGGCCGCGTGCCAGGAACACGAGCGTCACGTTTCCGCTGTTTAAACGCTACGCGCTCGTAAATTAGCGCAAGACTCGCGCAAGAGGTTATTGTGACGTCGCTTTTGTCCGTCCGCTGTTTCCAACGCGCCTACAACGGCCGCGCGCTGCAGCATGGAAAAACGCTCCAAGCGCGCGTGTGTTCGCCATTATCTCGCGCAAAACTTCGCGGATCTTGACGGCGGCCGTCTCGGGAAAAGGAAAAGCGCATCCAACTTATCGCACCTCGAAACGGAGTGGCAAGCTTCTCGCTTCGAGAAGCAAGACGCGTCTCGCTGAGAGTTACTTTCTCTCTTTCTTTCTCTCTCTCTCTCTCTCTCTCTCTCTCTCTCTTTCTCTCTCTCTCTCTCTCTCTCTCTCTCTCTCTCTCTCTCTCTCTCTCTCTCTCTCTCTCTCTCTAAGAGAAGAGAAAATAAACAGTATCGTCGAAAAAGGCACGTGGACAAATAATGAAGATACGAAGAGAGAGAGAGAGAGAGAGAGAGAGAGAGAGAGAGAGAGAGAGAGACTTTTCTTCCGCCGCGACTTCTTTTCATTCTCACGAGGGGCGCCTCGCCTCGCGGTGTGCCTCGTGTTATTGTAATTCATTAGGCATTCAGACGCGATCCCGACGATAAAGATAACAGCAGGGAAAACGTTCAGCGCGGATATTGTCGTCACAGCGCAGGTAGTCGAAAGTCGAACGCGTCGCCGGCGCCAGGACTTATCCGTTACATCATGGCTGACCGTAGCCGAGCGCTCGAGATTATCTTTCCGCGTGTATTCGCACGATAGCCAAACATCTCGAGCGAAACTCAGTGATTACCTAACGTATACGCGCCGCGCGGCGCCGTGACACGCGGCACGTAGAGGGAAATTTCGGGCGCCGCGCATCGCGGCTTCAGGGGACTTGAGAGAGTCAGATTGCTAAAAAAATCGCTTGTTTTTGATAATATTTTGTGATGAACTGAATAAATGTGCAAGAATGAAAATTTTAGGTATATTTATACAACATATGAAGAGCGGAGAAATTTGGTTTATTAACAAATATTCGTATATATAGTGGAAATATACTCTCCTTTTTTTTTCAAGTTGTTTTTGCAGTAATATCTCAGCTCTCGGTGGTCAGTCCGATCAGAGCGAATTTTAGCTGGAAATCTTGAGGAGGCTTGTCATCATCATCCGGTGAACCACTACAAAAGAAATCGAACAAAATTAACAAAATAGCAGCTGTTATTAGAAAAAAATTTAGATTTTCCAGTTCTTTTACAATGAAAAAAAAGTAATATCTCGAAATGAGATATTTTGACGGAGTTGTCCATCGCTCAGCTGAGAGCCAGATGAACAAATATTATTGCTTTAAAATTTCATATCGATACGAAGCTCAGTTTCGGAGAAATCGCTGCGAACAATTGAACAATAAAATTTCGAGAGAAACGCGTTTAAAATTCAAATGGACGTATATTTATATGAGTATTTGTTAATAAACTAAATCTTTCTACTCTTCACATGTTGTATAAATAAATCTAAAATTTTCATTCTTGCACATTTATTCAGTTCGTCACAAAATATTATCAAAAACAAGCATGATTTTTCAGCAATCTGACTCTTCTCCAGTCCCCTTAATCTGCGGTCGATCGACCTCTCGAGCGCGGAAGCTTGCAAATCTATAAATTCCGAACCTTTGCTTCTTATTTATCCTTTATTTGCAGCATCCTTTGTTGCGATACATTTATTCTTTATCGCGATAATTTGTTGCGCCCTCCCGACGTGCTCACCTCTGCGCTGCTTTCTTCTCTCACGTGTCTACATCGAAAGATTTCTCCCGCGCGTGCGGAATATTGTTATGTAACGCAATAATCTCTCCTCATTTATATATTGTTATTGCGTCTCCGCGGCTTTGGAACACGATCGCTCGCGGTCGCGGGACGCGAGGCGAATGCGCGAGAGGAACCTCGCGCGACGGTTCGTTATTTTTGTGCGCGCGGCGACGCGAGGCCGCGAATGCGAATTGTAATTAGCCTGTGCAACGTCCGTTGCAAAAGTGTCGTTGCGTCTCCTCCTCTTCTTCTCACTTGCCGTCCTTCGCTTGGGAGAGAGACAGAAAGAAAGAGAGAGAGAGAGGGGGGGGGAGAGGGAGAGAGGGAGAGGGAGAGAGAGAGAGAGAGAGCGTCCGCCTGCTCTCTCCCTCTCTGTCTCGCTCGGGGGAGACGATATTGTCAATGCCGCTCAATTAATTGGGAAGATTAGGATGCAAATAAAATGCGTACGGCGATCGGAAAGCGAGTTACGTGTCTGACCATTATCTTGACTCGTACTACTGCGGGGATTGAGCGAAAGGTCAAGTAGATAAAGAGCAGGCGCGTCATACGCTCTGGCGAATCTTCACTCGCCAAAGTCGCCGGCGACTGTCTCACCGCTTCTGGTATTTCATCCGCGATACTTGGTCACGTCACTTTGCACTTTTTTTTTGATACTCTGTGAATTAATGATGCATCGCCGGCGACGTTGTACGGCGTTGTATCTTTTTTCTCCCTCTTCCCGTCGGAAGGATAACGGTTTCATAAATCAGCGATTTTTGTCGTCGAATCTGCTATTTTCGACGAGTATCATCATCGGTGCGTCATATGAAATAACACGCAAACGGGAGAGCAATTAAGAAGAGTGATTAACGCGCTCGTTAAGGGATCGGGCTCACCGTAGCTGGCGCTCGTTTCTGTTGCAGCAAGATCCGATGTCACACAGAATCATCGAGAAGCGCAGGAGAGATCGGATGAACAATTGCTTAGCTGATCTCAGCAGGCTCATACCAGCGGAGTATCTGAAGAAGGGCCGCGGCAGGGTGGAGAAAACGGAGATCATTGAGATGGCGATCCGCCACATGAAGCATCTCCAGGGCCTTCGGCAAGGTGGGTTCTCCGCGCCTTCAGTTACTCCACTCTGTGACTTTTGCGAACCCGGCCGACTATTTCACGCTATTGTCAGAAACGAAAAAGGGAAAAGATTTCGTGACTTTTAGAAGATGTAAGCAACGCTATCTCGTGGTTTCTAGAAACCACGAATAAGTACTTTTGGAGCTTTTTTTTTTATAGAAACTAAAAAGCTACTCCGCGGTTCTCAGAAGCTAAGAAGCGACTTGATTTTCCGAAAGTAAAATATAATTTTATTTAAATTTGTCACTTCGTGATTTCAAGAAATTAGAAGAGTCTATTTGATGGTTCGTAGAGACCTAGTTGATAGAATCCTATTTGAGCGCAAATATCACGCGAGTTGGGAGTGGAGAGCAGCAGCAGCAGCAGCCAAGGTCGCTCTTGATATTCGCCGATATTCTCGATATTCGTTCGAAGGAAATACACAGATCTTTGTAGTTTCGCTTCCGCGAGAAACGAGAAACACCTTCGCAACGCTTTGCGATACTTGTCAAGCACGGCAATGTTTTTCTTCACGCAGACACCAAGCACTCGCCGGTGACACCGGTGCACGCGCATCCCGAGGACAGCGTGGACAGCATGTCGCATTCGACCGCGGCGTCCTCGGCCGCGGAGCATTACCGGCTGGGCTTTCAGGAGTGCCTGAGCGAAACCATGCATTTCCTCGTGGAGGTCGAGGGCTACTTCGCGAGGGACTCCCTCTGCGTGCAGCTCATCAACCACTTGCAGCAGCACTGCGACAAGATCTTAGCCACGAGTACGTGTCGTTATTATTACGCCGGATAAGGATCTAGTAGAGTAGAACGGAACCGGGCTTCGAGGTCGCGCGCAGTCGGTTTTCTCGCGCGAGGTCGGATCGAAGAAAAGTCGAGTCGAGCCGCGAAGAGAGTCACACGTGGGCATTTGAGCTGCGAAATTTAGTCGGTACGGTGAAGAGCGCGCGAACGAGAAACTGAAGCCATGGTCGTGTTTGGTACAGATGTTCCTTCAATTATCTGAAGATTGATCCAACTGCGCGGTACGCGAGTAACTCTGTTTGTTGAAGGGCGAAGTGAATCAAGCGATGAACACGAGGCGATAACGCCTCGTCGAGTCAGCCTTGTATGATCGTTTTATTGAACTAAATTCCAAGTTTGTTTTCCACGCGTATACAAACACACACACACACACACACACACACAAAAAATAAGAGATTGAAGGAACTCGGCGGTTTTGCCGGCGGAATCAGGGCGCGTTGATGAAAAAGTCAAACAGAGATAACTGAATCTCAGAGTTATACACTTTTATCTGTCGGAATCTCCAGTCAGAAACGATTTGACGTTTGAGAAATTTCAGCTGCAAGATCTCTAGCCAACGGTAAAAAAGCAAAGAAACTTAACTGGAGCGCGATGATACAGATAATTTTTCAGCTGCCAAAATACCTAATTGATTTAACCGAATCTCGAATCTAACTAATTTCGTTATCGGCTAATTGAGTTATGTATCTGCAGCATAATATGAATAATTTTAGTCTTCAAAATTTTGGAGTATCAAAGATCGTCTCATTGAATTGGATTTCATGCTGGCTTCACACAAATAAGTGGCTAAAAAACGCGAATATTTTGCTGAAAGAATCGAGGCGGTCGACAATTCCGAGGCAACTCGAGCTTCCTCGGGGTCGATTTTCTTCTCATAATCGTAATCGCGAGTCACTTTCATCCCAGATAGAGAGACAGGTGCACATAAATTTCCGTCAGCAACTTTATTATTAGTCGATTCATGTAGTACTTTTTATTTATCGCACGAACTGGCGAACCAGAAATATAAAAGAAATACAAAAGAAAGACTGATCCAAAGCTTGTCCAAAACAGCATGTGTGTGAAGTGTGAACTATAAAAATCTAAATTCTTTTGAATGAATTTCTCTTTTACCGCATCGACTGTAACAAAAAAGCTGCATTATTGATATGATGTGACGATAAATATAATATACGATGCAAATTTCCCGATTCCTATTCCATAAAGTGTATATTTGCTTGAGAAATATAAAAAGATTACAAAGTGCCGTCGACCACGAGGGTCTACCTGGGATGACAAGCTCGCGAGTCAAGTTCGCCGCTGCGTGCTTCCGAGTGCAGCCGCAGATTCCTCCCCTGCATTAATCGCTCTCGCGTTCCGCCAGGTGACCGACTAGGCTTCCCTCATCACGAGCTGCCGGTGTCGAACGGCAAGGCGATCAATGGCGGCGGCTACGTGCACACGAGCATTCCGACGATAATATGCCAGCCGAACGGCCACTCGGACCACGGCTCCAGCTCGTCCGGCGTGAGCTCGTTCGGCGACCCTGAGCGTCCGCTGCGACCGGCGCTGGTGCCGCCTCCGACGATCGTCAGCGACGACAGCAATCACAGCAACCACTCGCACAGCACGCCGCTCATGGCCGCGTCGTGCCGGCCGGCCAACTACAAGTTCAAGAGCTCCATCAAGCAGAGGTTCTCGGCGGAACGGGTCAAGTCGTCGAGCTCGCCGCCCGTCGTCGGTCTCGCCGGCGGCTGCGGCTTGGACAAGCCGATGTCGTCGCCCTCGTCGTCGCACGGAGTCCCGATCTTCGCTCTGCACGACGCCGGCTCCTTCTACGTGCCGTTGACGGTCGAGGCGGCCTTGATCAGGCCGCACCTCAGCTTCATTCCGGACACCGGACCCGACACGGTCCTCCACCCGGTCACGATATCGGTCAACTTCAACCAGTCGATGCCACCGGCGTGGTCGCAACACCACAGCCCGACTCATCAGCATCAGACATAATGGGGAGAGTGGCAGGGAGCAGCAGGAGAGATGCTGAGAGCCTGACGTTCTCAGACTTTTGTGCTTTCGTCGTCCGGCTTCTCCCGACGACGGTGTAGCGTCGTGTCTTTCGCCGGCAGCGCTGGTCGGCAGGTCGGCACTCCGCGAGAATCACCGAGCGGCTCGCGCGTCGTGGTGACGACTCTTCTCACTCTGTGCTGGTTGCGCGGTGCGCGATGAACGTGACGAAGCGGCGGTACACAGACTGATTAACATCACATCTGCACTCAGGTCCCGTTCTTGTCGCCGAGGGTACTCAAAGGTTACTTGGACATGAACATCGTGGACCAAAGTGCTCGTTGGTCACGTCGCCATCTCGAGACGTCCGCCGAACGGTCAAACGACTAATAACACGTTGACTGCCGCGGTGATTGAACGCACGGCAGCTTGAACGCATTAACCAAAGATGCCGGGATTGAAAAAGTGGGACGATCTCCTGGAAAGTCGCAAAGCGAGATCTGAACTCTCTCAGGGAGACCGCCTCGGTCTCTCCGAATTCACGTCCACTTGTGTTTTCCACTTTGTTTTTCATTGACCATCTGCTGGTCATACGACCGATGTTTCAAATGTGATCGATTAGACTTCATCAAACACAATTTCGCTACAGTGTCATAGCGCCGTTGGTGTTGCCGGCGATCGTCGCGACATTCAACGTGTTGAACAAGCGCCGGATTTTCGCCTCATCGACGTACTTTGGCGGTTGCGCTCGCATAAGAAAAGGGAAAGCAAACGGAAGAGGAAAAGCTCGATCGCGCGCACGGTGGCGTACAGGTCGCTTTCGACGCGCGTAACATGGGGGACGTCGAATCCGAGGATGTTTGTACATTTACCGAGGCTGTGGGTCGTTTTAGCATTTACGAGGTTCGAGAGAAAGCGTGTTAAGGGTTGTACATAGGTAGAGTATTAAGGTTAGGAAGCTCCAAGTCGTTTTTGGCTTCGGTGTGTCTTCTTCGTCGTTACTGTATAATTCACACCCGTTCCTTTTCTCCCGCTCTCCCGGCCTCTTTTCTTTAACAACGGGCATTTCGTCTCGTTCTTCTTCCTCGCTTTGCCTCTTTCTCTCTTTTTTCCATCTCCCGATCCGTCAGTTTGACAAACTTTTCGCGCGCACACGGCTCTGCTCTCAGTCGGAAGATCAGTATGAAGAATTTTACGTATGAGCACTCGCTTGACGGATATCGAGCGTTCGATCGGTTGCGTCTGGCCGAGTATTCGCTTCTCGGCGGAGCCAACACTCGTTGCGTCCAAACACAAAGAGGTCCAGATGCGAGAGGGAGAAGACGAAACAGGAAAGAAAAGGAATTCTTTACGTATGCTGTGTGTGTGTGCGCGCGTATGTGTGAAGAGTGAGAGAGCGAGAGAGAGAGAGAGAGAGAGAGAGAGAGAGAGAGAGAGAGAGAGAGAGAGAGAGAGAGAGAGAGAGAGAGAGAGAGAGAGAGAGAGATCCATCTTTGTTCAGAATAACCCAGCGAACGCATGACAATAGCCGTGTTATCAGCTGAAGGAAATTCAATTTTTCATGCCAAACAAAGAGAGAAATCTTTTTCTCGACGGGACACAATACGTTTGTGTTTGGGCGCAACATTTCGGCTCCCACACGCGGATTCCCGCGTCTTGTCTGAATTTTAGGGCTGCATCGTGCCGTCTCGCCGCACGGAGACGCGTTTTCGTCGCGGGACGTGATCTTGACACCAACGCTTAGAGATTCGTTATACGCGTATGCTTCCCGATACTGTGGAAAAAGAAAAAAGGCAGTATATACACGCACGTGCATATGTATACATGTATATCTATCTATCTGTATAAAGAGCTCGTCATATATGTAACACCTTGCTTACTAAACACAGCTTCGTAAAACTGTGAGACGTAAGATACGCTCATCTCGCGAAATCCCGTCGTAAGCGGGGCCGCGCCGCGGTCGCGCGATGCTTCTCCGACGAATTCGCCGACCGCGAGTCGTCGATCCGGTGCCGTACGACGACGATTTTTCCGTATTTCGAGATCGTAAGTTAGTTAGCGTAAAAGTGCCTACAAGTACGATCGATTCGTGAATATTCCACTTATGTGATCCCGCGTACGCGTACGCATGAGGGAAGTGTTTCGTTTTCGTTCTCCTATTTCTCCCTCCTCGATTGTTTCTCTCACCTTCTTTTATTTCCGCGGATATATGATAGAAATAACTGTGTCATGTTCGATCACGAGAGGATTGAGTCTGCTCGACGCCCCGCCGAACCGGGCCTCAGCAACTAAAGACTGACCAAGACCTGCATTACACTAAATTCTTGTAAGATCGCTGCATTAAATATATTTGTACATACCATGTCTATAGTTGTAACTTTAACGAAGAATTTATCGCGGAATAAATTATATTTACCATAGAGAGCCGCGCCTTTCCTTGCGCCAACCACACATGGACGGGTCCACCTTGTTTGAGTGAATGTTGCTCGTTTCAAGTACTTCGATTTCACTTGTACATCCACGAGGCCGTATCGCGCGTAAGTTTCCAACGAACTTTTTCCTTTCTGGACACTTTCGCTCTGTGGAAGTCGTACACGATCGAGTCTGGATCGGCGGTCATCATCAGGCCACAGAAACAGAAGGAAATTTCAGTTCGCCGTAACTAAGAACGAGAAATCTGCATGCTGCCAACGTCGGGGAGAAAGAAAGACACTGGCGCGGGTGCAATTAAAGATTTTCTTTTATTACATCAACATAATACTGGCTAAGGGTCGAAAACAATCGTAGAACGCGTCTATCGCGAGCGGCGAGGGAGGGAGAGCGGCGAGATCAACGCGGGCGACTCGCGACGCTGGATGATTCACACAGCCCTCTCCCGAAAAGTAGAGACAGACATCGTGCGCTGCTGCCCCTGCGAGTAGGGAGGAGGGTATAGCCGGCGACTCGCTGACGGAGGGGAGCGTGGTAGTCTCTAATGATTCCTAACTACGGATATAAGTATCTTATAAGTAATAAAACTAATCGCGCGCGTGCACGCACGTGGCGAGGCAACCAAGTCTCGGAACAAATCAGCCTTAATGAACCCTTCGAAAAGAAGAATCGATCGCGAGAGGTCATCAGGGGACGCGAGTCGGTGGCGGTCGCCCGACGTCGCTTCGCGGCGTCGCCGCCGAAACGTTCGCTCCGCCGCGCTTTCCTTCCGTTCCGACGACATTCACCGGCCGGTCGGGCTGTCGCCGCCGCCGCAGCCGCCGCCGCCGCCTCGCTTCCTCGCGAGCGACGAGAGGATCCCAAAATGCGTGGCAGTCTTCGCGACCACTGCGATCCGTTTGTCGTCGTCGTTCGTCGTCGTCGATGCTCGGTTGTTGTTGTTTGTTGTATCAATTGAAAAACCTAACTACACACGTAGAGTCCAAGGGAACTTAGTACTTCTTGCTTGTTTCTTGTATTTCTTTTTTTTTCCGGTTTGGTTTGCGTTTTTCATTTTTTTGTTCTTTTTTTTGGTTATCGACTTTTGGTTTGTTGTTTCATATATACTTTTTTTTCTGACCTCTTGGTAATCAATCGGACACATATCGTCAATACTTGTAGTAATTAATGAGTTGCGAGTAAAACGCGCGGGCAACGCTTCCTCCTAGCATATGTGAGGCGTGCGCGGGGCGTGGGTGAACTGAATGTGCAGGTTCGGATAGATGCGCGGGTTTAACACTACCGGGTAATGTAACGGGGGTAAGCACAACATCTTATGACTTTTGGTATTAGTCGAGTATGAGTCGAGTGGAGCAGCCGCGGCGTGCTGCGTCCTGACGGTGGTGGCGGTGGTGGTGGTGGTGGAGGGTCCATGCGCGGGGACGCCTGCGGGGCACCGGCCGGCGGACTGCGAGCTTCCGAGGAAGCTTGATGGTTACTTTTTCTTCTGGGCTTTCTCCGCGGCCTTTGTTACCTTGCCCTGGGTGTCCTTGAAGGTGACGCTCTGCGGGACGAGAAATCGACAATTGTACAATCAAATGCGGAGAAGATGTGCGGGAAGAGACGAATATTCGCGCCAGGTTCAGCGCGAGTTGGCGCTTAGTGTGTGTGTGTGTGTGTGTGATTGTCGTCTCTCTGTAATTAAAATATACCTTTAGATCTTCAATGCATCTAGAAGAATATGCAGCACAGACAATAATCATTGACGAGCTGCATCTTTCTACTCTGAAAGTGTTATCTTAACCCTTGAACACTGGGATGTTTTTGTTACCTCTTATTACTAGGGCGGGTGAATTTTCACCCATTTTTTTAATTTTTTTATTTTTTCGAATGTATATGAACTATAAATATTTATGAACATTATAGGTCTCAGCAGGACACTGCTGTGTCACGTGCTGCTATCTAGTAGCAGCAATTAACAAATATCATCGGGTAAATTTTCACCCATCCTAATGTTTAAGGGTTAATGTAGAACCACCACAGATAAACAGTGTCTCCTTTGAGAGACGATTTCAGCGGGAAGAAGCTGAAACGTTCAAAAGAGAAGGAAGTTCAGCGGGAGTTCAGGTTTCCTCCAGGTAAGCTGAATCATCGAGATAAGCTTTCAGAAGAAGATAAACTGTAACTGGATAATCAACGTTATCGTGCAACTCCTATTCTTCCTCTTTAAGAATGCGTCGAGAGACTCAAAAGGTGAAGCTCTTGCTTCACTTGCTCGCGGAGCTACCCACCGCTGAAAAGTAAAGAGTTCTTCGGTCAAAGCCGGTGCTCACATGGCGAAGCTAAGTTTGTTGCGATAATCCGCACAAAGTAAGACGTTCTCGCGCGCGTTTGGACGCTTACCAATCGCAAGTATGGAATAAATAGAACGTCGACGAAATATGTTGACGTTTCGCCATTGCCAAGCGATCATCGTGCGCGCGCGCGCGCGCAAAGTATCAGGGATACGTGTGACGATAAGCGCATCTTACATGAAAATATCTCCGGCTTAAAAATATCCCGTTTCCGAAAGGGTTGCTCCGAGCGAAGGTCTGCGAGAGCGAACAAAGTCCGCGACTCGCGAACTGCGTGTCAGATATAAGTCGACGCTTGGAAAGAGAGAGAGAGAGAGAGAGAGAGAGAGAGAGAGAGAGAGAGAGAGAGAGAGAAAGAGAGAGAGAGAGGGGCTGCATCGTGAAAAAGTTTCCAGCTCACTCGCTCTTATCTTAAGCTTCTCGCGTGAAGTTATAACTCTCGAGTCTACCTTGATAACACCCACGGCGACGGTCTGACGCATGTCGCGGACCGCGAAGCGACCCAGCGGCGGAAACTCCTGGAAGGCCTCAACGCACATCGGCTTGGTCGGCTGCAGCATCACGATGGCGGCGTCGCCGCTCTTGATGCTCTTCGGGTTCTCCTCGGTAGTCTTGCCGGTACGGCGGTCGCACTTCTCCTTGATCTCCGCGAACTTGCAGGCGATGTGGGCGGTGTGGCAGTCGAGCACTGGCGTGTAGCCGTTGCTGATCTGTCCCGGGTGATTCAGCACGATCACCTGGGCGGTGAAGTCGGCGGCGCCGCGGGGCGGCTGATTCTTGGAGTCGCCGGCCACATAACCGCGCCTCAGCTCCTTCACGGAGATGTTCTTCACGTTGAAGCCGACGTTGTCGCCCGGCAGAGCCTCCGTCAGGGCCTCGTGATGCATCTCGACCGACTTCACCTCGGTTGTCAGGGCGGCCGGCGCGAACGTCACCAACATACCTTGAACCAAGCGGTTTCGGATTACGATTGTGAACGTGAATGACGATTTGCTTTCGAGTTTATTGGTTTATTGGTTCCTCTCCTGAAGAGAAACGAAGTTACTCGGCGAGCCTGCGAAATTTTTTCGAGTGTTTTCTAGAGTAATGTCCGTTGATATGCGGTCGAGTTACTACGCGACCGAGATTCTGTATTTATATTAATATCAAAATTTACAAAATGTATGCGGTAAAAAGATTCATATATTACAGTTAATTTACGTGTTACACGTCAAATGCATGATGCAATTTGCATGATGCACCTATGCGTGCATCATGCAAATTTATATATTATAAATTTATATATAATATATAAATTTATACATTTATTACAAATTTATATATTTGTAATATATAAATTCATACATCACATGTCTCGATGATATGCTTTTTTTCAACATCGTTCTCAACATTGTTTCCGCCCAGAGAGCAGATTGAAAATATCAATAGACGATACTTTTAACTGATAAACGCTAACTAATATCCCGTTACCAAAATTTTGTTTCGAGTAGACTCGCTCGCGAGTCAACAGCGCATCGACTGGATCCGGAAGTGAGATCAACCGAGACAAGCGAGTATCGATGTAATCACCTGGTTTCAGGATACCAGTCTCCACGCGACCTACGGGCACAGTCCCGATCCCGCCGATCTTGTAGACATCCTGAAGAGGCAGTCGCAGGGCCTTGTCGGTGGGCCTGGACGGCGGCAGTATAGCGTCGAGCGCCTCGATGAGCGTCTTGCCGTCGGCGTTGCCGTCCTTGCGTTCCACCTTCCAGCCCTTGTACCAGGGCGTCTTCGGGGACGGCTCGAGCATGTTGTCGCCGTGCCAGCCGGAGATCGGCACGAAGGCGACCGAGGCGGTGTTGTAGCCGATCTTCTTGATGTACGAGGACACCTCCTTCTTGATCTCCTCGAAGCGGGTCTCCGAGTACGGCGAGTCGGTCATGTCCATCTTGTTGACGCCGACGATCAGCTGCTTCACGCCCAACGTGAAGGCGAGCAGCGCGTGCTCGCGGGTCTGACCGTTCTTGGAGATGCCGGCCTCGAACTCGCCGATGCCGGCCGCGACGATCAGCACCGCGCAGTCCGCCTGGCTGGTGCCGGTGATCATGTTCTTGATGAAGTCGCGGTGCCCAGGCGCGTCGATGATGGTCACGTAGTACTTGGCTGTCTCGAACTTCCACAGGGCGATGTCGATGGTGATACCGCGCTCGCGCTCCGCCTTAAGCTTGTCCAACACCCAGGCGTACTTGAACGAGCCCTTGCCCATCTCCTGCGCCTCCTTCTCGAACTTCTCGATCGTCCGCTTGTCGATGCCGCCGCATTTGTAGATCAAGTGGCCGGTCGTCGTGGACTTACCCGAGTCCACGTGGCCGATCACCACGATGTTTATGTGGATCTTCTCCTTGCCCATTGTCGAGGCGGTTCTCTCTGTCTCTCTCTTTCTCTCTCTCTCTCTCTCTCTCTCTTTCCCTCTCTCGCGCTCCCTAGCTACCTGTCGAGACAGAATTAGTCGTGGAGGGTTATTCACGCTGAGAGAGAACAACGCTCAAGCGCTACTGAAATTATCATTATTTTCAGCGCCAACTATATATATATATATATCTTCCTCTAGTTTTTATTTTATTATTTAGATTTTATTTTATTATTTTATTATTTAGAAAAAAATAGCGTTAATAATACACACGTAAAATTACTACCACCAACGCTTTATAATTAGCGATGTCATTAAACCTAAGCCCAATCGACGTTGCCACGACTTTAAGTTGATATCGTCAGCGACTTGGTGTTATCGCTAAAGTTAGCGATCTTATCAACTCCTGTCAACTTTTATCGCAGGCTATCGTAGGCTATCGTTGACTTGATGACATCACTGAATTATGACGTCATCGGCACACATCAGCGACAGCACCAACACTTGCTGCAAAAGTCGCTCCTTGACCGTCGCTCTCTCATTGCACGATTACGCGGCTGAAAATGTTGAAACACTTTTCGCGGGGTATTTGGAACTAATGATCGACGACAGCGGAGCTGGCCGGCCGGCCGGCCAGCGCGCGGGCTTTACGTCCGCCTGTGTGTAGCGATCGATCGCGCCGTTGATTTGATGGCCACAGCGACGACGTGATCTAATACCGCACGCGACATGTTTGCCGTTATAGCGAGGCTGTATAGCGGCAATAAGTGTCTATAGAGCTGGTCGTCTTCGCTGCTAAATCGGTGCGCGCCACGAACTCAAAGGAGCCGCCCCGAGCCAGTCCAGCACGTCCACGCGTGCCTCGGCTATAGGCCATTCTAAAATTGTTGTTTTATAAGTGTCGTCCACTTACACGGGGAAACGGTAAATAGTAGCGGCTGGCTCGCCCTTGTCTGTCTGAATGTCGCGTGCGGACCCATCATTTAGTTATCAGCGTGTACGCTGATAATATCTCGCGTAAATGTACTCGTGCGACGTACGCTATTTGTAACGGATAGTTGCGCGGCTAAACGTCGCTTGAACGTCAGCGCGCGCCAGGCCGTTTATGATGTACCCGCGTAAATATTTAACTCACATGTAATTATGCATTTAAGACTCGACATGATTCGGTCGGAAGCTTCGCGACGCGTTCACGGCTCTCTTCGGTTGTGCGTACACGCGCTGAATCATGCAACAAGGCTGGCCAACTCTTGCGTTATTACCTCCCCCCCCCTCCGCTGGATATTTTATATTCTCTAGATCATCTGTAAATTATTATTGTACTAGAGAGAGAGAGAGAGAGAGAGAGAGAGAGAGAGAGAGAGAGAGAGAGAGAGAGAGAGAGAGAGAGAGAGAGAGAGAGAGGGAGAGGGAGAGAGAGGTGGATAAACCAGCGAGAAATCATTCAATCATTGCATCTGCAGTCGGTAGTTGTGATTGTTTTTTTTGTGATTGATTTTGACGAGTCGCAAAAAATAATATGGCTGCCGGCGAGCTGGCTAAGCTTCTTACGGAGAAAAGAGATTGGCTGAATTAGGCCCGGTTGCACCAACATTATTTTAATTTTCAGCGGCGCTCAAATATAAGTCTATCTCTATCTCGCTTTCTTAAATAAATAAATAAAGACAGACATCTATATTAAACCCCGCTTAAACGAAAATGATGTTAGTGCAACGGGGCGATAATGCGGCAACGAAAGGATTAAGCGTTGCGTTTTCACTAAAGAGAATAAAATCTCCGATTTTTAGAAACGAATTTGATTCAACGATCGTCAAAAGTTCCGTCCGGCCTCAGCCGGAGAAGAAGAGGAAATTGCAGATTTTCACGAGCCAGAGAGAAGTTCTATTTCCTTCGAGCAGAACGCGTTTGCTTCGTCCGCCCTCTCATTAATTCAACCTGTCCCTCCCCGCAGCCCTCTCGCCGTGTTGGTAACGGATAATACAATCGTGTCTGCGACGTCGTCAATTTCTGCGCTCGTCGCCGCGAGTGAAAAATGGCAGCGCTCTCGAGTGGTTTCGCGCGCGCGCTGCTCGCGCTGATCGGATATTAAGAGGCCGATAAATATTGACGCGTGGCACACGGGAGGACCTTTCGCCGGTCACAAAGGCTATTGATTCGTTCAAGGAGACCCACGCAGGGCTCGTGAACTCTCGGCGGACGTATATAAATATGAGTGCTATCGGATCGAGTGTGCGCGGTTATTACCCGCCGCTGTGGCGATTGCGATCCCTTGCGCCTGTATGCAAGCGTGCGCGCGGGAAAGCAGAGGGGAATAAAAACGCCACCGTAGCTGACGATAATGACGGCGATGACGGGGACGTCGGTCGATTCGCGCGCGCGGCTTCGATTGGAGGGCCGATCATCCCGTCGTCCCGATGAACCCGAACCGTGTCGCTGCCCAGGTAATCCGTCCCGCGAGACCGCCTTTTAGATCAATAAAGGGTGTACGATGCTGCCCTAGCAATCTCGCCCTATGTGCAAGGTGCGGTGTACAGGGCGTTTTAAAAGTCGCGCGCGCGGCGCGGCGCGGCGCGGCGCAGCGCAGCGTCGTCGTCGCGCGAGCGGCCCGATAATCGGCCATTTGTTCGTCCCTCTCGGCGAAGGTCTCGTGATCGAACATGTTAATTAATAAGCCACTCTGCGATATACGACTGCCGGTCCAGGCAACTCGCGGCTCACCGGCGGGGAATTGCGTGCTCGATAATTTACATCGCAGTCCTGACCAATGAAATCCCAACGCAAAGCCGCCAACGCGGCCAACCGTCCAAGCGCATTTCAGGAGACTCCGTCGAGGAGAGTCGTGAAGTCATGGAGAAAAGCCGAGGGTTGAGCAATCTGCCGGAGCGTACCGCACCGAAGCCCATCGATCGACGTTCATTTCGCGGCGCAGGGAGCGCGGATCAGGCAAACATCGCGAAACGCTCCCATCGATTCGCCAAGCCCGCCTCCCCGGCCGCTGGGACGACGAGAGTGTGACGTCATTACGCGGAAGATCTGCCTTGTGGCTGGCAGTCTCGGGCCGGATCGGCCGCGATGAACGGTCGTTCGCGTCGACGGGATGCTCTGAGACCGAGTCCTCGGAGCTGCGACGGATCGGGCTGGCCTCGTGGGTGAAGATCGCGGCTTCCCGTCCGTGCGCGCGAGGCAGGCTCTCTCTCTCTCTCTCTCTCCCCGCGTAGGCAAAGCGGCCTCTTCTAATAATAGTCACAGCGGCCGTCACTGTGGCGGCCATTTCTCAGCGGCGATTGCTCGCTCCGGAGGTAGCGCATCTTCGCGGCGCGTCACTCGCGAGGAATCCCGTCGGGAGGCCACCCGCCTTCGTCCCGCCGCACCCTTGACCGATCCCCCGCGACCCCCCCCCCCGCTTCGATGCTTCTCCGCGGAAGATCGCGATCTCTCGCTCTCCTTTCGCAGCTCCTGCCGCATCGCGCGCGTGAGGCGAGGCGACGCGCGATTACGACACATCGCGCAACGAGGTTACGAGCGGAGGAGACGATCGGCGACGCGTAGTTGGTAGCACTTGGCGATCGTGCGCGACGGCGATCGCAGGCCGAGCTGCAGCAAGCGAGCGACCTACCTGGAGCCAGCACAGGAGTCTCGTACGGAGCCAAGGACGAAGGGAGTCGACGATGTAGCACCCGTCGTAGTAGCCGCGTCGGCTTGAACGAAGCGCAACGCTGCTCGGCGACTCGCGAACCTCGCGTAATGGCCGATCGCTCGATCGGCTTTTGTCCTTACGTGAGAGAGCCCACTGTCGCTCTCGTCCCGACGGCACAGTCCCTTCACCCGCGGCAGCAACCCTTTTCTCTGGGCCGGCTCTCGAGACGCGCCGTAGCCGTAGTAGACGCTTGCGACCGCGAACTCGCGACGAGCTTACGAGGAGCGACGAGTCGAGGGCGGATTCGCCCGAACGGCGCGCCGGCTCGAATCGATACGATGGCTGGCTGGCGCGCTTGCGAGGGAGAGACAGAGAGAGAGAGAGAGAGAGAGAGAGAGAGAGAGAGAGAAAGAGAGAGAGAGACAGAGAGAGAGACAGAGCGAGCCGGCTCGAGCTTGCACGAGAACCTCCGATCTGTCCGTCCGTCTGTCCGTCTTATGTCCGTTTTTCCGAACGTTCGTGCGATCGAGCTTTCGCGGCCCTTCGATGCCGTCCGGAACGGTTCACGTTGCGCTGCGCTGGTACGATAAGCGCGTCGTCGCTCTTGGGCTGAATAGCTTACTCACCGGCGAGGCTTCTTCAAGTTGAGACGGCTCTCCACGCTGAAATTCCGCGGACGTGCTTCTCCTTTCTTGCCGCGTGCACACGGCGAAAGCTCGACGGCGAAGGCTCGAGATAGAGAGAGACAAAGCGAGAACGAGCGGGAGAGAGAAACTGAGAGAGAGAGAGAGAGTGAGAGAGAGAGAGAGAGAGAAAAAGGGGGGTAAAGGGAAAGAGAGAAAGCATGGAGGGTGAAGCGACGAGCGTCGCGCCATCTGAGAGTTTCCGCGCCGCGGCGCTTGCGCCGGCGAGCTTTTCCCGTATCGCAACCACCCCTCCCGATTGGTCCGACGCGGAGCGACGCGCGTCTATTTTCTTCCGCGGTGACGACAAAAGAACGACTCTCTAGCTGTCGACGAACGCGGCCACGATGATTACGATGGTCGCTCTTCCTCTCCCTCTCTGTCCCTTTCGCGTGCAGATCACTCGGTGCACTCCTCTCCGACGCGCAAGCTCCGCGCTTCGAGGGCTCATCCGGTTCTGAAAACATGTTTTCCGCGAGGAAAAACCGCGCGACTTCGGCAAGTCGGCCTGACCGGCCTGCGCGATGAATATATCTCGCGTGTTGCTCTCGGTTTTTATTGATCTCGCTTTTGTATTTTTCCTTTCCGTCTCCAGTCGCCCGGCGTTCGGCTCCAAGCTTTCTGTTGTGTTTTTGAGGGCGGCGGGAAATTCGAAACAGCGCTGCGCGCGCATCCCTGAGCGAGCTGTTTGATTCTGTCAGCGTGTGAATTCGCATATTTCTCAATCAAAGCGGTTTCTCCATCATCCGTTTATTTTTCCCAATCTGCCTTTGTCTTCGTGTCTTTTTTCCATGCTTGAAGAAAATCTCCCATCCAAAGTGCGTGATAAAATCCACTTATTAAATGTCTTTATTTGTTTTTCAAGGGGATTATTTTTTATTGCGTATCATGCACACTCATCGGTTCGATAGCGCGGGCAAAACGAAATTATATTACAGGATGCAGCGTAAGTTTCGTATGGGAAGCTTTGGTATTGTGTAACTTTGTGCGTTAAGGGTTGAAAACGTAAGCAGTCGTCATTTACGTTTCATCAACGATTGATTGCTTTGCTCACTGCTCGCGTTTTACTGCTCTGTCTCATCCGCTCAACCGACTATTGCGTCGGTCTACTGTACATGAGAAGATAATGGAAAAAAATGGCTCTCTCACAGGGTGCGATTCACTTTGCGCTACCAATGTTCCGCTACGCTCCGAAACGGCCAAGCGGGAGCGGTTCACGTGAACGCTACGAGCGCGACAGTCGCAAGAGGGCCAGATTGTAGTGTTTGTTCCAAATGCAACTTCACCTTTGCCAACAATGGGGTGCGACACATTAAGTCCGAAGAAAAAGGAAACGGATCTTTTTGTATGGACAAATTGTGAAAACAACCCTCTGAACATAACTCTCCTACATTCAGAAATGCTCGCAATAATTATGGAATATGCGCTGATTGAAGTACGGCATAATCTTCTTCGGTTACATCTACTGTACGCGCGACATCTGCTTCTTCATCAAAGAGCTGTATCTCCGGCATCCTGAGCGTATTTACGTTACAGAACTCAGAATTAGCTGCTGCTCATCGACCCCGCAACGTTTGGAGCGCGATGGGAGCGGAAATGATGACGTAATTAGCTGTGGCGTCGCAATGGCTGTGGCGTTTCGTAACGATAAGCGAACCATCCGTTGTGCTGCTACGCATACTCCGTATCGCCTGAAGCGTCAAATGGACCGTATTCACAGTCATGAGAGAAGTTGATGCTGCGGCCGTTGCGACGGGGCGGGAAATTCGAAAGCATCAGGCAATTCGAACATACGCGCTACGCTCGTCTTTTTCAATTTTTTCCCTTTTGGCGTGTGCCTTTTTTTGTGGAGCGCATTTCTCGTTAATGCGTTGAATGCCACGCTGAGTCGATTTAATGTTTAAATAAAGTCTGAATATGTTCAAATTATTTTGCATGTAAATTAATGAGATGTCGCGTAGGTAAATAAGTTCATGGCAAGTAAATGAATTTACTTAGGTTAAGGTAAGTAAATAAATTAATGAAACGCGGTAATACTATAGCGTAGGTTATTTATAACCCATGTTAAATTATTTTTTCAACAATTTCCTTTTAGCTTCTTCTCGAGTAAATTATTTCCTCGTTGAAAATTATATTCGGCATTCACAATTCGGCATAATGGGCTTGACACATAAAATTAGATCACTTTGTGTCTAGAATAATTTTATGTGTTATCATATCGACTAATTAGAGGAAATAACAATGAAGAAAGATCGCGAAACGCACATTGCAAATTTTCACAAAGCTTTAAATTTTTCTCTAATTGCAAAAATAAGTAGAATACATGGAAAAGACAATAGATAACAGAGAGAAATAGTAGACAGAGATAGAAGTAGATAAATAAAAAAATTAGAAATTTACAAGGCTCTTGTAAGAGTGGAATAAAAGGATTTACTGTTCTTTTACTGTTCTAACGCGCAGAAGACGCGATTCAAATTCTCAAGGAAGATGTCGGCCGTCCACGCGTCACGTGAGTGCTGCGGTCGTAAATAGAAGCGAGCAGTCATCGCAAAGTCATCGTGAGAGAGGTCAGTGTTGCTATCTTGGAGGATCGCGAGGGGAATTGAATTCGACACACGGCGAGGTCGCCGGAGATTTTGCAATTAATCGAATTATGTAACTGTCGATAGTGCCGATCGAATTTTGGCGCACGACCGTCGTCGCTTCACGTCTCGAAGATGGAGGAAAGTTGCAGTGATTCCGAAGAGGTCAGTGAAACCGCATCGACGCTGTGGCGGAACGTTTCATCTTGACGCGCACTTCCACCATGCGTTGCTTCGTTCGTGATTCAAGCTCTCATGTCGAATAAAAGCACTTCCCTAATCCTCCTGGCTTATCTCTCGTTTTCGTCATTGACATTCCTCTCTCAATGATGATTTGTTAATAATATCATCCAGATATTTTTATTGGGTAAAGAAAAGTGATTGATCTGGCTTCCGGGTTGATGCCGTGAATTTGTCTTCGACGCTTCGTCAACATTATAGTTCACTTCTTCAGCGAAAGGAACGACGGTTCCGGTCATCAATGTCAGGTCGTTTTTCTCCTTGAAGAAGTGAATCTGTGATGTCAAAAACTAACCTGCGAATGAACGTGGCATCAACCAGCTGGATCAATTAATATTATTAATATCTGACGTATATTCGTTTGCACTATGTTTTTTCCGACGAAGTTGGCGCCGTCGCGATTGCAAATCACTACTGACGAGCACTTCAAGTCGAAGCAACCAGATAAACGTAAGAAAGCAGAATTAGTGAGTGTGTCAATCAATTGATATTTCTAATTTATCAACGAGCAATACGCAACGAGTACCGTGAGTGAGTAATTTTTGCCAAGAATTGAGAGTGGACTTCCTGAAACATAAAACTGACGTTTCATTCTTCGTGTAACTTCATCGAGCAGGAAACGTGCTGCAAATTGTCGCGCAAAGGGTAAATTGAATGGGGCGAGCACGTAAAGGGTAATTTATACGGGGCTGTTTTTACTCGTTTTGAGGAAGCTTCTCAACTCACTGGTAAAAAAAAGCTTCTTCTAAACGTTCGATTTTTATTCGCTAGCGATTCTAAAATTTAGAAGACGCGACGTCTAGTGGTCGTTGCGATAAGTTAGGCATGTTCAACTCTGATCTGATAGACGCTACGTCATCTAACAAGAAAACATAGGGAACTTGGAAATTCAAAAAATTATGGAACTTTGTGTGGAAGTAAAGTAGTTCATCCATAATGCAAAACTATTTTTTATATCGTGCGGAATTCTAGTCTGACGAAGTGAAACCACCCTTTGAAAAAAAAACTATTTTTATTTTTAGCGTATATCTTTTAAAATACGAGGTATATGCTAAAATGGTTTATATGAAAGTTGTAGTGTATTTCATACTCTTTGCAACTGTTTTTAGTGCAACTATTCAGATTTTGCAAAATTGGAGGAGGGCGGAGGGGGTTTCAAAAATTTTTCAATTTTGCAAAATCTGAATACACAGTTGCAAAGAATATGAAATACATTACAACTTTTATATAAACAATTTTTGCATATGCCTCGTATTTTAAAAGATATATTCTGAAAATAAAAATGATATTTTTTCAAAGTCCAGTCGAAGGGTAGTTTTATCCCGTTAGACTGGAATTCCGCATGAACAAAAAGTAGTTTTGCATTACGGATAAACCACTTTACTTCCACACAAAGTTTCATAATTTTTAATTTCCGAGTTCCCTACATTAGGAAAAATGTATTGTCGCGTGAATCAAAATTTTGTTGCAACAACAAAATAATTTAGTTAAAATATGCCCAACAAAACTGTTTAGTTTCTGTAAACAAATATCTTGTTTGATTACGATTTGTTCGTATAACGTAATACTTTTGTTATAGCAACCGAAAAGCTTCAACTATATGAATTTTCTTAATAAATTGTTAATAAATACTATAATTTTTTCTTAATATATAAAATATAAATTTTAGTGCACAGAAAGACAAAATAGTATCCATTGGGCATTATTTTAGTTCATGTAAAATAATATTTCGTTATTGTGTAATTTTTACGGATAAAATAACTAAAATGCTTAATTTTTATATATGAAGTCTAAGAAGAAAAAGTCATTTGGTCCAAGGAACAAAGCAGAAAAATATATTTAGTTGAGACAACTAAATATTTTATTATATAAAACAAGATATTTGGTTGCTATTAAAAAATGCCTCAGCTAAACAATTTTGTTAGAGATATTAAATTTTTTTTCCTAGGGTATGTATGTTTCCTTGTAAGTTTCAAACGTCAGCGGATAAAAGTCGAACGTCTAGAAGAAGCTCTTACCAGCGAATTAAGAAGCTTATCCGAGAAGCGAATGGAGGAAGCAGCAAATTACCCTTAACACGCGTACGTTGAATCGGCACGGTGCATCGGACGTGCATTAATGCGCCCGATTGCGCATATACCGTGAATTATCGAGACAAAGCGCTTTCGCTCGAGCCGCTCCGTTAGATCGATGATCGTCCCGCGCGTCTGATCAGTTGAAGAATGAGCGCTTGCGACTACTGGCTGGCCGTGTTCGGCCGCTTCCACTTCCGACATCGCGACGATATCTCTCCACCGTTGCACTCGCAGCGCGCGGGAAGTCTCCCCGCTGAATCTCCTTCCTTCCTATTCCTCTATCATTAGCAAGTTTATTTCTTCTATAAGTTTCGTCTGAATTTATTTGTCTTCGTAAGGTGCACATTTCCGCGTGGTGCATTCTACGCTGAACGTCAAAACGCGGATCATTCTCCCACGCTTACGACGAAGCGCGATTCTCCGCTAACGAAAGCAAAGACCCCTTCTGCCTTTCTCGTTATGTCGCGTGGGCGTGTTCACTTCCGGGGGAGGCATCACGCTCAGATGATTCATTTCCCTTTCGGCGCAACGGCTCGTCGAGGCGCGTCGAGTAGCGCGAGTAAGACGGATTTAAAAACGGCGATTAGTCGCCGCGAGATCCGAAGTTGTGACGAGGACGGTCGAAAATAACGATCGCCGGCCAGGAATAACGGAGAAAAAGAGGAAGAGAGAGAGAGAGAGAGAGAGAGAAGCGGAGGGGGGCACTCGCAGAGGCAGTCGTCGCGATTTCCGCGTACGGCATGCCGTGATTGGGTCACGACTCGTTCGTTACTCCGACATGTTCGGGCCTTTGACGTATCGTCGATATTTCGGTCGACGTCGAAAACAAAATACACATCGAAAGCTCCAGGCGAAAACGCGGCCGGGCTTTACGAGGAGAGATACGTGTCCCAACGATCTTCGTCAGCGGGAATGGTAAACAGGATTTCGCCAAGTGCGACTAGTAACTCTCGCGGCGAGCTGCCGCTTTCCGCTTTCAGCCGAACGCGCGTTAACGGCACGCGTTAATTAACGGATGCCTCGTTTCATTCAGGTCGATCGTTACGTCGAAGCAACAAGCCATTTTTCTCCGCTCCTCGTGGTGGGGCACCGATGGTGCTCGCGTGTATCTTCCACGTTCTCCCTTCATCGACAAAGGATTTCGTCGCAAATTTGAATTTACGACACAATGAAATACTGTATGAGATATATTTCGGTCTCGATGAGTTCCTCCGAAGATGTCACGACTGATCTAACTTTATGGCAGCGCCTTACACGCCAAAGATAACAGAAAACGGTGGTGATTAGTCGTAGTATGGATAAATTGTTCCTAATGAAATTACTCGGACCAAACGCACATTCTTTTATCGCGGAATCTATCAAAACTTTTGCACACACCCGATATAACGCGCCGGCCTAAAGAAACTGTCTCGTATTTCAAGACTGATTGGAATTGTTTGGGAAATTGGCTGTCCGAGTGTCTCTCGCGACAAACGTCAAACGTCGCAATTCGAGTCGCGTCGAGTAAAAATGGAAGGCGGTGCGCGGCCGAAAGAGGTCATGATCTGGCGCCAACCAAGGCCGCGCGCTCGCGCGCGAACGAGGAAAACATGATCTTTCTTTCGCGTGTTCGATGACCCGGCTTGTATTTTTCTCTCGAAGCGACGCGTGCAAATTTTTCAGGATTCCCCCGGATCAGCGTTCCCAAAGGAGGAGGGTCAATAAAGCCGGTTTTTGGGCCCATCTCCGATTGGTCTCAAAATACGTCATTTTACTCATCTAAGTGGGCCTCATTACATACTGTAAGGATTTTTCCTAATAATGATTTAATTCAGAAAAATAGACATTTTTATATTCCCATTTTACATGGGTTTTCGTACCTTCGATCAAATGATGCTGGGTTTCATATTGTTAACATTGCTCACGCAAGATCATACTTTCCCAAAAATTGCGTATATATATGCACTACAACATATGTCAGAGCCATCATTTTTCTCGAGGTACTTCACCTTTAAAATACAATTTTTTTGCACACTTTATTACGCTTGCGTCCGCAAAAGAAGAACAAATCCTTGATCTCAAAGAGAATTCCTTCAAAAAAACATCCAAACAGATGAAGATCAACCAAAACTGATGGTTAATGAGACAAAAAAATATCGTTCATGTGTGACTGCGTCTGCATCAGTGAGGGCCGCCGGCGAAGCAAATCGGCCACGACGGCGGCCGCGCGAACTACTGCGCGTAAACCCATGTAAAATGGGAATATAAAAATGCCTATTTCTCCGAATTAAATCATTATTAGGAAAAGTCCTTACAGTATGTAATGAGGCCCACTTAGATGAGTAAAATGACGTACTTTGAGGTCAATCGGAGGTGGGCCCAAAAACCAAAGGAGGAGGGCCTTATCGACCCTCCTCCTTTGCAGCAAAATTGGTTGTGCGATTTCAAATTGAAAATCGCAAAACCGAATAACGATTTCTCTTCTTTTCTCCGTCGCTCCAGACGTTGTCCATAAAACAAATGCTTCCTGTAAAAGGCTTCGCTTAGAATATGAGACTATGGGAAAAATCACTTTACAAATAGAATACCTTTTTTTCGGGTGTGGTTATATATTATAAATATGCTACATTGGACATTCTCTGAGTAGAGAATTCTCCATTGAGTTTTTAGAAGGTTGAAGCGGCTCCCAATTAAGGAGTCCCTGAAAATGTGTTCTATGTGAGATCGGAATGCTCGCGTGGAAGTTTTCCAGATATTCCCGAGCAGGTGCCAAGCGATTCGGAATTGTGACGGGGAAAAGCCTCGAAGCGACGGACAGCCAACGCCCACGTGTCGTTGACACCGGTCAATGGCGCGTACATGCATTTATAC